ATGCATGCAGGCAAGAGATGTTCATGATCCTGGGACGGGCATTTGTCAGTTTGTTCATAAATCAACACTTTTACCTTTTTTTTGGTTTTCCACTGTCTAGTGAAGTACAAATCCCATATAAAGCTTTCCCCATGGTTGTGAGCATCCATTTCCAATGGTATCTTTAGAGTGCGAAGCAGACTGTTGCTTCAGTTCAGGGTAATTTTGTGAGAAAGTGAGTCCATCCAAAGACTTGAATCTGTGCTTTGTTAGTTATTGCTCTCAGAATTGATGTTTTTTATTGTCCATCTCTTCTTTAAAGAAATCTTAATCATTAAACTGCTTGCTAGTTACATGCATCCCACATCACTGTATAAATACACTGCTAGTCAAAATGTTTGGCAGCTGGCAACTCTTCAGAGAAGTATTTGGGAGAAACAGAAGGGCCTCGCTGTATAGTCTTGTTTATTGATTCCCTTAAAAACTCCTGCAAAACATCTCTTACAGTTTAGAAATTACAGATTTAGCAAATTAAACTCTTTCTCATGTATATGACAATGAATATTAATTACAAAAGCAGATGTTTGTGAGAAGAAACATTTGCCTTCATTTTTAAAGTTGTATATTCAAGACACACAAACTTTACTTTGCATCTGATTTTCTTATGTTGAAAGGTTTTTGTTAAGTATAGTTTTTAAAGTAACCCTTCCTCTTCTTTATTTTTAATAAGAGAACCACAGTAGTTTGAAAGGCAATCACCTGCATTTTAAGAATAGGTTATATTCTCTGTTTTTCTGTGTTGAAAATATGTCCTATTTTCACCTAATTTTTTCTGGGATGGAGATACTTTGTGACATATTTTTGTTGTTTCTACTTGTTCCATTGAAGCTGGTGTTGATTCAGCTTTGATGGAAACTACCTTTTAAAGTAGCCAGGATGCTTCCATTGCTCTCCTATATTCTCTTGTTTTGTCATTTACCCAGCATATGTGTGCTGTGCATTTTTTCATTGGTGGTGGTGGTGGTGCCTGCTAAAAATTCTGTTTCAGCCCATTCTTGTATTAGTGAAACTGGCTCTTCCTCATATTCTCATTTGTTGCCACAAATTTCAACTTGTAGAAGCAAATTCAGTGAGAATGGAAATAAAGCATCTAGGAAACCCCTTCATTAAAATAATACATAATAGGAGTGATTAATGCTGTGGGAAACAAAGTCTTTCAAAGCAAGCCAAGCCAAGAAAGGAATAAAGCTCTTTAAAAATGTGTATTTCTTCTATTAAAGAAATGTGTATTTCTTCTATTAAAGAAAGAAAACAAAGCTGCATAAATTGGCTAGATAATACTTATGCCAAGTGGCCTAATTTCTATATACAGCCTTATTCACTCCCCTTTCATCATTTCTTCAGGGACAAGAGCTGGTTAGTTTTACAATTTTTAATACCCCTAGTGTGTTGTGGGTACTGCTATAGTCTAAATTATGTAGATGTAATTGCAAAAGCTATTCTACAGATAAGAAAAAACATACACTCACTACATTTTCCACACTATTTCACAATTTTTAATGAAAATCTTATTTGATGTTTGTCTCCAGCAAAGAAATAATGAAGTATCATGCATGGGGGAGGCTTGTGTTTTCAGCTGAACTACCGAGGCTGAAACTTTAATTCTAAGCAATCTTATAAATCAGGTCCACAAAGTGTAGGTAGCTTGATTCCAAAAGCTTTGCTCTGGAGACTGTCTTCTGACATAAGATAGGATAATTCATGGAGAGAAATTGTTACAAAAATGTATGATAAATAGTTCAGAAAATATTGTTTTGAAATGGATTTAGAATTGGATATGAAGTCAGTGTAGAACATGAAGGAGCAATGATTCCATTTGTCTCACACCTAGATGGATTTTAAGTATGTGTTTTAAACAAATATGAGTTTTCACTTGGATTTGGAATTAGTTCCAAGTTTGAGATACATGGGTAAAAGAGCATAAGGAATTAGTAAGGAATAACTCATTTGGGAGAAAATAAGAGTGGTTGTGCTTCCACAGATGAAGGATCTGTCTGGCCAGGAACCCTCTCACTGTGGCAATTCTTCGTGGCACATGTCTAGGAAACTTTTGTGAAAACTTGTAAATCTTCAGCATTTGTGGCCGAAGAAACTCCTGCGACTGAGGTCATGTGTTTTCATATAGGAACTATATACTTTTTTCAACTTTAACTTCACTGACTTTCTGAACCCATGCAAGCTCTTAGCATCAATATATACATCCACATCTCTTGATTTAGAGGAAATGTACCTGAACACACACACACACACAGAGCTGGTGCCCATCTTGTCTCTTGCTGTCCAGACATACTCCTGGAGGTAAAACCAAGATCCCAACAGCAATTACAGTCCTGAGTAGACTTTCTGTCAGGTCTGTACTCCATGCAATCAGTGGCTTCTTGTTTATTCCCTCTCCCTTTATTATTTAGTAGTTAGCTTAATATTTTATCAATACAGATCCCATTAGGGTCTTTCATTGTTATGTAACCAGCTCCTCTTTAACAAAGTGTAGGTATTTTAAGTCCTTGATAACATTTCAGACTGTGTAGAAGGTGTTCCTTACATGCAAGCTGCTAGTGTCACATCATTTACATTCTGCCTACCTAGAGAGGAAACAGACCTTAATAATCAAAACAGAAACCATCCTTTTCCCTCCTTCAACACTTTCTTGATAATTCAGTCAAGAAATTATGCAGGAAGGAGCACTTGAACATAAATTCCTAAGGAAGGAAAAAGTAATGTTTTAACAATGTGAGAATGAGCAGCCAAATGAGGGGGATGAGTCTTGTTTCATATGTTCATTGTTTTTTAATTTGCATATCAGATCAACTATCAAAACACAATTTTTCTCCCTTTTCTTTTAAACTTGATATACTATTAATAAAAGATACAAATTTAATTCAGAATGTATGTTAGATAGACTCCCTTTATCAGGGAAGTTATTGTGTAGAGAAACTGGCAGAATGTGAATGTTTTTAGAGAAAGCAAGGAAAAAGTAAGTAACATAAAGATTTGACTGGATTTGACTGTAACCCGAGAAGTGGAAACTTCTCTCCCCCTATTCTTCAGAAATACCACTATACTACTTCTATAATTTCCTTGGTACTTTGTTGCTGATAATCAGGAATTAGAAAAATCCTCTTGTACTGCTATTGAACAGACACAGACAGTGAGCAGTCTGTGATACAAAGCAGTTATGTGAAATATTTAAATTCTGATTCCTCTGTATGTCCAAACTCTGCTCTAATACAGTGTGCCTGTATTAAAAGTCAAATGCCTTTTATTCTAAGGCCACCAAAGGTTAAAACCTTCTGAAAACTCTGTCCCATGAGTATCTCTGACAGGAATTCCTGTTTACATTATGAGAAGAGGGAATTGTTGAAACTGATTGTTGTGGTCTGACATAATTCTTTTTTTCATTTTTGTTGTAACAGCAACTGCTTTAAGTTCTCAGATCTCAGAGCTGAACATTGTTGTGCAAGAAATAATAGTAGCAGTCTTCATTAATTTCTTTTTAATCCAAAAATGCAGGAACATGGGCAACCCAACTGGAAGCTAGTTGGGCCACAGGACATTTAACTCTTTTCAAGTAATTTTTTTTTTGCCAAGTGCTTCATTTAGCTTAGGCTTCTGCCTTTCAATGTTTTCACAGATATACGTGGTTTATTCCTTTGTAAAACAAAAGTGCGGTAGAAAGTTGTGGGGGTTTACCTTGCTTCCTAATTAAAAACAGAATCACGGAATATGCTGAGTTGAAAGGGACTTGGAAGGGACCCACAGGGACGATTGAGTCCAACTCCTGGCCCTGCACAGGACCATCCCCCAGGATCCCACCTTGTGCCCAAGAATATGTCCAAATGCTTCTTGAACTGTTGTCAACCAGAAAGATAATTTTGTGCTGGTTACAGTGAAGTTCTTCTGTAAGGGATTGGACTTCTTGTTTCTTCCCTCAAATTCAAGTTTTTTAATTAGAAAATAAAATACAAACCCATCAAATTGTACTGAATGTCAATTCAGCAAATACTATTTGAAGTAATTTTAACCTCATTAAAATAGAGGAAAATTATGCTTTACAGAATGGCCAGCAATGACTCTTATGAGAACATTACAGTAGGTTTAAGCAAGAACAACTGTATAAGAGTACTGAAGTAAATTCAAAGAATCATTACTGTTAACTTCAAGGATCTGGGTTTTATCCTAAGCGTGGAAGCTTGGTCAGAGAGACTTAAAAAGAAAAGCATACCATGAGCCATCTTGAGTTCATGTAGATATTTCTGTAGTCGTGGTGATTCAGCTTTTTCTGTAACCACCTTATATGTTATTCTCACCAAACAAGAAATTAAATTTCTGAATCACTTCAGTTATGTTAGTTTAAATTCATTTTATTAGGGCTTTATCTCCTCCTGTCTGAGGAGAAGGAAGCCCTGTTTTGTCTAACCTTATGTGTGGCTGCCTAAAAATATGGAAAAACCCCTGCTTTCAAAACTGGATGTGCGAGTATTGTCCTGCGACTGGAATAACGGGTTTCCATTTTAAGCATAGTATACTGCTTTGGAAACCAATGTGTTCTGAGTACTAATGATGGCATTGATAGCAATTTTCCTTGAGATCTTTAAATTAGTTGAAACTAAATTTTTGAAGTCTTTGGTTCTGAAAGCTTTGGATACCTAATGGTGTTTTGAATCATGGTCAGAAGTCATTCTTAGCACAGTCTTTCTAAATTACTGTCTTCTAGTATGGGATAATTTCTGCCTAGTGATAGCTTTTCATTGATGTAGTTTGTAGGTGTTGAAATGTAACATATGTTTGTTGCTTGGCCCTGAATGTTTGACGTTATATGGACACCTAACAGCAGTATGCAAATACTCATGTGACATAGCTGTATTGTGAAAATATTTTTTCAAATGGATAAAAAGGTGTTGTGGGGAGGATTGTTCTGTTTCTTTCTTACCAAGATTTCTTTTTGTTTATTTGTTTTTCAGATAATGGAGGACAAACTTTAGCAGGGGGGAATAATTGGCCACTGAGAGGGAGAAAATGGACCCTCTGGGAAGGAGGAGTGAGAGGTGTAGGCTTTGTTGCAAGTCCTTTGCTGAAACAAAAAGGTGTAGAAAGTCATGAACTCATCCATATCTCTGACTGGCTGCCAACTCTGGTACACCTGGCTGGAGGACATACCAATGGCACTAAGCCTTTGGATGGCTTTGATGTTTGGAACGCTATCAGGTAACTTTCATGTCAAATCACCAAGTCATCATTCTGGTACAAGAAGAAGTTAATCAGCCCAGGAAATGGAACTGGAATGGGGAGGGAAATATAACCTGTTCATTTCCTGTAAAAGAGGGAAGGTATAAATGCAGTCAATTCTGCTATGAGAGAATTATCCAGGTAGCAAATGAATTCTGGTTGCAGATGCAAAGCCTTCATACAGCTTTAACTTGGTATTTTGAATTTTTCAGTATGAACATAACAGCTCACAAGCATGGTATACTTCTTCAAGAACATTCTGTGATCTTGAAGTAGGCTAATTGATTTTGCACAGCATAGAGTACAAGTAAGTAAATTTTATGGACCAAACCCTGCTCTCTACAGAGCTCAGTTAGGTGTGTCTGCAGTATGCATCTGGAACTGGACATATGGGAAATCTGTGCAGACATAAAATTCTCTGAACATGGATCCCACTTTGATGGTTTGTTAGTCCAGTACAGGAATTGTCAGCCTGGCTCATAGTTTAACCATTTGCATAGACCTGTGCCATGCTGTCCAGTGTCTTGAAAAGCCTTTGAGATCGAGTACAAAGTACACCTGACCTGATTCCTGAAGGTCATGATGTTGTGACTGATTCAAGCAAGCTGAAATACTCAAAAGCACAGTGCAGACATGCTTAGATGACTGGAAAAAGAGGCAACATAGCTCCAGCTGGGTTATTTCAATGTTCTTTTATTCCACTGAAAAGGATTACAAAGTCCTTAAAACCTAAGTTTCTGCAGAATTTGAAAGTTCTGTGACCAGCCTTTAGTTTTGCAAAAATTGGGTTTGTTTAAATTCCTTTTCTTCTTCATTTTCTGTGCTGCATATAATGTATTCATTATAGGGGTAAATCCTGTTGTCTGTCTTTTTAGAAGTTATGTTTTTTTAGTAGTTCTTTGAATATAGTTTCAATTCACATAAGAATAATTTAGGATGGAAAGTTCAATACTGCTAAAGCAGAATAAAAAGACTAACAATTCCATTTCCTACACACAATTCAGTTGAAAATTAGTGTTCTGTTTCTTTTGGTAGCCTTTGTTCTGCTTTTATAGCATGTAGATCATACCATATTATGTGCGTTATCACCTTTTGTCCCCGTCTTTTTTTGTGTGTCTTAGTATCCTAGACTGGGAATTGCAATAGTTAAAAGCAATTCCTAAACAAGCATGAGCAGGAGTGCTGTCTGAGTTAGGGACTGAGATGAGAAATTGAGAGTTAGAGTAGGCAGATTTGAACCATGTACCCATCCATGGATCAATCTATATGGATCTTGGAGTGAAAAATAAAAAGCAAAACCAAACCAAACCCCCTACACCTCCCCAGAACTAAACCCTATGTCTTGAGTTCAGAATTGGTTTGTCTATACCTGTAGCATTACCTGTTTGAAGCTGGTAATCTTGATTTCATTTTTAGTGTTGCCTGTGTTTCTAAAGAGCTAGGGATGGTTTTCTGCAGTAGCTAGAGTTTACAGGAAGCTCATGGCCTTGTGCCCAGGTGTACTGTGTGGCTCTCTCCCAAGTGGAAGAAGATAACGATATGTATAATTGAGGCCAAGGATCATTAACTGCCAGGAAGAAATGGAGACTCCCATCCAGCCAGAAAAAGTAAAATGTTTTACTTGTCAGTGCTCCTGTGGGGAAACTTAGCACCAGCAAGATCCAGGGTACACCTACACCATAGACTTTTCTTCCAGCTACCATTAGAATTCCTGCCTACTTCAACTTCAGTTTCAACCATGTATTTTTGCAATGGATTCATCTTCTCAGATCAGGTTACTTCAGCAGGAGAGTTGTTGGGAAGGATAAGTACAACTGTGCCAGCACGCTGCTGCCGTTTGCATTTCTGTCTTTGTAAAGGGAATGAATGCAATCTTTACTGGCACTGCCAGGGAACAGGTGACTACCAGTGTTTTTGGGTGGGTCAAAGAGAGGGCCTCTGTCTGGACAGGTAACAAGTCAGGTTTTCTAACTGTTCGGCTATTCCTTGGCTGACCTTGCAGCCAAAATGTCAAATCTCACACGATTTTCCCATGTAATAGGGATAAATGAGTATATTAAATTTCATGACCATAATTCAAAAGGTCACTTGAATATTGGATAGCAAACAATGAATGCATAGTGCCCTTTTGGTGATATCTGATGAAAAGTTCAAATATGTTGTTTTTTTGGGACCAAATGACTCACAGTGAATGAAATTATAACTTGCTAAGATTCTAACTCATTTGAAAAAGGAAAATTAATCACTGTGTTACATCTTTTTTTTTTTTTCAGTACAGTCTAATATAAATAAATGCATAAGCTTCTTGTGATTTTTTCTGGGGGGAGGACACTTTAATCCTGAGCCTGCTGGTTCATATGTGTGTAATCAAAAGGAAAAAGATCATAAAATTGGAACCTTGATTTAGGTATTCAAAAGAATATATGGGATGGTGCAGATATCAGAAGTCAAAAAAATATTTAATCTATTTCAGTGATATCTGTCTATTAATGATCAGTATTTTAAAAATGAGTTCTTAATATGATGTTCATGTAATACTAAAAATATAATCATATAATGCAATAATTTATAATAAATCTTATACTACCGAAAATAACTATGTATAAATGTAATATACTATAGAAATAGCAATATATATTCAATACACAGAAATTCAACAAAAATTTTTAAATGCTTTCTGAAATTCTAGACCAAGGTGAACTTTCTATCATGACTTTAAATGACTGGTAGTCCAAATTAGGAATCACATTAACATGACACCAATTAATATTAAGTACTTGTAGTGCAAAGAAGTGCTGAGAGTCACATGAGAGCCAAGTGTTCCTTTCATACCTTGTCTACTTAATTCTGGCCTAAAGAACCATAAGACAAATAACAATTAGAAGGAAATAGCAGGAAAAAGTGATGTTCAGGAGCACACATCTTGTAGACAAAAATACCTTCTTTTGGTGACATTCTTAACTAAAAATACATTCTTTTTGGTAACCTACTTTTAAGTTTCTGTCATACAGTGCATGAAACTGAGAAAGTACAGTGTTTGGGTTCCCACTGTTTGAACTCTTAGGTAAAAATTTGCATGGTACTTAAAACCTCTTTGACAGGGATTTTTAACTCAAAAGCTTGTCTTCTCTTTCCAAGTCCATCTGCTGACCCTTTACTGTTTCAGCACTGTATCAGTGAAAGACTTAATAAAAGAGGAATGTGATTTTATTTGAAATTGAAACTTAAATAGAGCAGGTTTTGCTCACTGCCAGACAGTCTTACCAAGAGGTGTGTGTGTGTGTCTAGGAAGTCTGCCCAGCGAAACACAGGGGCAGAGGTTTTCAAGCCATCCACCTGGCATCCCCACACCATGATGTTTGTGAACCCATGGGCCCAGCATCTGTTGCTGTGGTGCAAAGGTCCAGGGATGCCAGGTGTGAAGTCCTTCAAGCTTCTTCTGTGCTCTTCGTAGGTTGGTAACTGCACATGGGTTCCAGTTATGCCTGTTTGTGTCTGCTGCATCTGTGTCCTGCAGTACCTCTGTGGGTCATCACTGCTTTGCTTCCAGAGACCCCTGTCAAGTGGAACTGGCCTCGATGTGCTGGGGCTGTGCTGACATGCTGGTCTGGATTCTCATTAAAATGGGTCGTTACAAGAGGCCTTTCCCTGCTCTTGTGTTTATGATGTTGTCTTCACACACAGATTTTACCACTCTTTCTCCATCCATACCTATTTTGGACTATTTTTCTCTGCAAAATTTTGTTGCAGCATATAATTCAACCAGTACTATGTAAATTTTATTTTCTCCAAGTGCATTTGAAATGAAGTATAACTTCCTCTTTGATGTCTTTCACTTCTTTTTGCAAATAACTTAGCATGGTGTCATTGTGTCAACCCATTTTTAGATAGCTATCAGATCTTTCCAGTCTCAGGTATCAACATTTTATAAAGGTTCATAAATAAATAATAAATCATAGTATATTTCCCTATTATCTTGCCTTAGGTTATCATGGGTAAGACAACAATATAGCTCTAAAACCGTGAATGTATTACAAATAATTTCTGAAAGTACGGTGATAATATCGCTGATAGATTTTACAAAAATGCACTTGAGAATAGCAAGAATGATATTAAACTGCAACCAGTCAAAGAGTCTAAATTGTACTGCATATTTCCAAGCAAGTATCACAAAAGGCAGTTGCATTTTTAAGAAACATCTGTTCTCCAGATGCTTACTACTCTATTGAAATAAAGACACTTGGCAAAGTCGTTTTTCTTTCGTTGATACATTTTTTGATACATCTTTATTTTCAGCACTGAATATCTAGTGTGTCCATGCTCAGAGAAAGTATTTATTTTGCGTTAACAGAAAAATGGAATTGTAGACCACATGACAGAGTATGATAGGCACTGAGAGATTCAGTATTAAATACAGTACAAGTAACTATTATTTTCTCAGAGCTTATTATTAAGCAGAGAGTTTAAAGTCTTACTTACATATTTTGTAAGGCAGGTTTCATTTTTATACTTTTATAATGATGAAATATCTTAACTGATTGGGTGGAGTAAATTAAGTAAGATCAGCTTCAATTATTCTGTACTGAATGGGAGCATTTATTTTAGAAATCAAACACCTGTTTTAAAAAAAAATTAATTGTTGTGATATAAATTAATGCAGGAGAAAGAGCAGTGTAAAGCTGAGAGTATGTTCATTTCCCACATATTGAAATATAATCATTTTAGGAAAACATTAAAAATAAGACCTAGAGAAAAATGACAAGGTTATAAAGACTCAGATTTTGCTTACTGACACTGTGAATGTTTTTGTGCAAGACAAACACACTTACCCTGAAAAACCCTGGATTCCTTGCCAAGGACACCTTCTGGCTGTTTAACAAACAACAAAAGTGAAAGATTGCTTGTAGGTCTTTGTTTGTGCTCACTAAGGAATAATAGGGCTTTTGGTACATTTTAAGAACTTTGCAAATCAGAAGAACAAACTAGCTGATTCTCATACCATCACTGAAGTTAGGCCACATGCTTTCATTAAGCTGTTCTTACATAGAGGACTGTTTTGAAAAACAGCAGCTTTTAGCTATTTAATTAAATAATAAGGACATATCCTAATTATTCTACCATCTGACAGGGTAGAATAATAACCAGACAATATAAAAAGTTCCTTATGTTTAGGGGGAGGGATGACGTATTAGGATATTGAAGTCTAAAAATAAATATTCTAAAATTAAAGCATTGTAAGATACGGTTACCCAGGCAGTTACTAAAATACAAAGACAGGTTTCCCTAGAGAATATTATTGCTTTGTTATTGTAGCTCTCCTGGCTAGACTATATTCCTGATGCAAAATACCCTTGCAGTACATCTGTCAAGGTGAATCTCTAGTTGCATCTGTGTCTCTGTGGAGTTTTGTTAATGGAAAGGAGGGCAGAGTTAAGGCAGTTCCAGGGAAACAGATCTCTTTTACAGGCATAAATTTCCTATCTGTTGTCTCCACAATGTTGTTTCTGTTTTTCTGATGTTTTTTGCTGTGAGGCAGGTGGCTTTTTCAACATGCAATGCCAGATTCTTTGGGTATTGTTTTGTGATATATGCTGGTTATTAATATCCATGCTCTGTACAACAATAATTACTGGGTTAGCACTCAAACTGAAAAGCAGTGCTGTACCATTGTAGTAGCTCCATGGAGCTTAATGCAGTGATGCCATAAACTTCAGGGAGTAAATATGATGATTACATATAAATCACATCCAAGGTACTAAGAACAGTACTCTATCCCAGAACAAAAATGGATTCAGTAATAATGGCAACTGCTGCATGAAACACTTACATTAATGCAAGTATAATCTTTATTTTTTACATTCTATCAGCTGTAATGTAAATAGCCATGTTTAGTATATAATATCCACTGTCCATGTTAAAATTTATAAAGGAAGTTACCTTCAGTCTGCTTGAACGCTATGAATATGTTTGGTATAATCATAGGCTCATACGGAATCACAGAATAGGCTGGTTGGAAGGTCATTTAGGCCAACCCTCATGCCTTAGACAGGGACATCCTCAACTAGATCAGGTTGCTCTAAGCCCTGTTCACCTGACCTTGAATGTTTCCGGGGATGGATCATCTACTACTTCTCTGGACAACCTGTATCATTGTTTCACCACCCTCATCATAAAAAATTTCTTTCTTATATCCAGTCTAAATCAGCTGTCCATCAGTGCGAAACCATCACTGCTTGTCCTGTAACAACAGGCTCTGCAAAAAAGTCTGTCCCCGTCTTTCTTGTAGGCCCCCATTAAGTAGTGAAATGCTGCTGTGAGGGCTGCCCAGAGCCCTTCCCTTCTCCAGGCTTTACAAACCCAACTTTCAGCCTGTCCAGAAAGGAAAGTGCTCCAGCTCTCTGACCATCTCTGTGGCCTCCTCTGGACTCCCTCCAGCAGGTCCCTGTCCTTCCTGTGCTGGGAGCCCAGAGCTGATGCAGCCCTGCAGGTGGGGTCTCAGCAGGGCAGGGCAGAGGGGCAGAATCCCCTCCCTCCCCTGCTGGTCACTCAGCACTGTGTGAATACTGAGCAGCACCATAGGAATATTGAATCTATAGAGATGAGAAGTAAATAGGAGTAAGGAGTAAGTAAACTTACTCCTTAACTTGTGCTGTATTTGACTCTGGTGGAAGATACTGTGTAACTTAGCATAAGTCTGGTGGTTTCGTTCTTTTAAAATATTCTGGAAAATGTAGATACAGCTCAGAAACTGAAAGAAAACCTTCCCAGTTTTTGCAGTTATTGCAGAGTCAATCACAGGCTATAAATTTGAAACCTAGTTTAACTTTTGCTAACTGGTTCTTGTTACTGTTACCTATGAACAGATGGTGAAAGGCACGCTTGAACACAGCTGTCTATGGAGCACATAGAGTTTATTAAATCTAAGATAAAGTTTGTTTAAATAAGGCCAAGCATTCTTAAATTAAGAGTGTGACTACTATATACACTTGGGGGGGGGGCACAGTTAGGCAGCTTTCACCCACATTTTGGGAAAACCCATTTTTGTGGCAGTTTCTATACATTGAATTACTAAAATTGTAGCTTAAATAATGTAATTCCTCTGTATTAATTACAATACTATATTACCGGAATACATTTAATCTTTTAGTTCTGCTTGATAGTTCTGTATTCCCTCAAAATGTATCATCCAGAAATGTTTTTAGAAATGTAACAGAAAAATATTATTTTGTTTGTTACTGCAAAATTTAAATTGCAGGTAAATACTGTTTTATGATATACAAAATAACTATAAAATAGTTAAATAGTTAAAATAAGTATAATTTTTCTTATCTCTCCAATGAGTTTTATATTACCTGAGTTTTTATTCTTAATGTCAGGAAGCTTAGGGGCCCTGGTTGAATTTTTTGTGTCTTAAGTTAAGCTCCTTAATGAAAGAAAAAGCAATTTAAATTATTTGGAAATTTCTGAATGGATGTGTTTAGGTTCACTGTCAAATAATAAGTTATTGTGTCTTTGTGTAGACATGTTTCTTTCTAATTATGTCTTCCCACTCATGTTGCCCTTTATAAGGAGTAAATTTCATTTACTCAGTTTTTTAGGTCTGGGATTTACTTAGGTAAGAAAATTTATGGGTAAGTTCAGACTCCTCACCATCTCTATGTACTGAATGGCTAAAAAAAGAAGGATTATTTTCTTTTTTAATACAAGATTACATGTATCTAAATAATCCTTGTGACCTCAATTAGAAATCAAAGGTGGTTTTTTTGTGGTATAGCAATGCTTGTGGTGCTTTTTGAGGCACCCAGCCATAACGCTTCCAGCACTTGTTCAGATAAGCAGAGGGCATAGCAAGTGCTATGCCAGCTTATGCTGTGAAGTTTGACTCTTAAAATTGGTTTTTGTAAAACCTTGCTAAGGTAGGGCCAATTCCGTACTCAGTAAACTTATGAATAATCTAAATAAACATCACTGAAGTTAGGGAAAACTTGTAGAGGCAAAGGTTGTTGCTGCTTAGATTAAAGTTGATAGTAATCAATTCAAAGTTATGAGCTCACTCTCTATTAAGATGACAAAAAGCATTAAAATAAAGCATGCAGAATCCTAATGAGCTACAGGAGGTAATTAACATTTCCTTTTGAAATCTCTCTTAGTGAAGGAAGACCTTCTCCCAGAGTGGAACTGCTGCATAATATAGACCCCATGTTTGTGGATGATTTCCCATGTGAGTATGCTGAAGATTTATTAAACACACAGTTTACCTTTTGAACACTTCTTGTCTTCCATAGGTGAAGTATTTTCTTCCAGGTGAAACAAAATACAGTAGGATGCCTTTTGCTTTTAAGTAAATAGCCATAAAATACAGAAACATCATCCCCTGGAGAGTGTAAGTTCTTCAAGGTGATCAACATGGGCTTCCTGTTTCAGAGAGCTCTGAAACACTGCTGAGTAATGAATAAAGTACTTTGGAACATGGAAATGTTGAGGAGCAGCTGTGTGCCTGAGGTGCACAGTGAGGCACACTGCCAACAACCCTTCCAAACACTCCCTCCAAAGTTCCAAATGAACTGCTTGCCCTAATACGTCTTGATACAACTGTATAATATGACCTTGCAAATGGAAAGCTTGAGTTTGTAAGGAGCTGAGAAGTTCCAAGCTGTGTGATTGCTTTTGTTCCATAATCATGTGGGTTGGATCCTTAATGCCACAATCACATGAATTCGAGCTGAACTTTGCTAATTCTATAGCTCTTTTTAAGCACCATCTGTTTTATGATTCAACATTACTAGTTTGCTAAGGACTACAAGCTTTTCAGGCAGACATTTTTTTCATACAGAACATTGGAAGAGGTCCCTTCCAGTGTTTTTATAGCATTTCTGTATTTCATTATATAAAGAAGTAAATCCAGGCAGAGAAAAAGTAGTGCAATGGAGACAGTGATCTGTTGCCTCCAAGACAAATACATGTTGTGCTGCAATAACTGGATGGAAATGGGTCGGATTGTGCAATGCACATCTGGTTCTGTGACTCTTTTCTGAGAAGGAGCAACATTGTCCCTATCTAATGCTGACTGGGCAGCACTGCCTGCAGATAGTTCCTACATACTGATTGAATTAAGGTGTAGCTACTCCAATTTCCCTTCAGAAAATGCTTAGTGAGTCACAGGATTCCTGTACAACGTTATGACCTGGTGACGTATTCTCTGGCCTACTTCAGAGACTGTATTTTCCTTGTGGGAATAGCCTGTGATTGAGTTGCTTGAATAGACAAATCCCTGGAGTAAGCAGACGGGGGACAAGCAAAGGAGGTTTTCAGGAACCTGAGCTCTTAGCAAATGTGGCCCCAAACTGCTTCCATGATGCAGTGCTCTGATGGCCATTCACTGTATGCTACTTGTATCATGTCCTTAGTGGTGTGCATTGTGTGAAATGTGGGCAAGTGGGGCTGGGGGTCAGGAGCTGTAGTAGGTGCAACTCTTTTCCTGCATAAGATGTGGTTTTTAAGAATCAGGAACAGAGGAGGTTATATGCATGCCTGTAAATTTACAATGTTTTTATGTGCCTTTCAAAACTGCAGTAATTAAAAACAAAAACTGAACTCTTCGCCAACATGTTCTTGTGCACCATATAGAGTTTCCCTGTCTCTTCTCAGCACAGGCCTATTCTTTCAGCAAATTACTTTGTGCCTCCTAGTGAAATTATGCTTTGTCATATAAAGATTAAAATTTCTATATAATAAGCCTGAGTTCTATTTAAGCCTGAGTTATTAGGAGTAATAAAATATGTATGTAAGCCAGCTGATTTTTATTTGCTGTCTGTTTTTCATTTATTGAAACTGAATAATAAGTTTAGAATTAATATCTAGAAAAATTATGCTAGTGTCTCTATTATGGATAGATTAGTGAGACACAAAACTTGGAATATACAAGGATTTCAGATTTTCAGCAATCATGGTTCTCTTCATGTTTTGTTGGTTTCCTTTTTTTTTTTTAAGCATCCTAAACTGTCCATGCACTCTTAGATGTCACCAAGATGATTAACTGTGTCACTCTGGAGTCTTGCTCTTTCCTTGACTGTTTATTGTTTCTGTGTCATAACTGTTTTGACATTGGAGTACTCTTTTGCCTATGGTGCTAAAATGCATGTTTGCAGGTTTTGCCGGGTTCTTTCTAAACTCTGGTTTATGCATATTTTGCTCTTGTCCTAGTCTGCTTTGAAAAATCACATCACCTAAATCATCTGATGTCAGATGAAGTATTGCTATTATTCTAATACTTTCTTTCTCAATTAAATATCAAGATTCTGTTAAATGTAACCAAAAAAGGAGTTTTCAGGTTGTTGTGGTTAATCAGACAAGAAGACAGTACTGTTGTAGTTGGGCAAATGTGGAGCATTAACTTACTATCTTACCTACACTCAGTTCAGTGTTCTGAACTCTTGAGTGGTTTTGTCTATAATGTATACATTCTTTCACCATAATATATTTTTATTTAATGAATGCATTTATCTTCGTCTCTATCAGAAAAAAATGATTTTATATATATATATATAAAAATATATTTAGTAGCATGAAAAATGGGATGCCTTATGTAATTAATAGGGTTTTTTAACTGAAACAGGAAAACTGAGCTTCGTTCTGTTCAGATTTTTTTTTACACCAAAATAAGCACTCCATCAGGGAAGAATTAGTGCAAAAGACAGTAATTAGTTTAGTGACAAGTCAACTGTTACAGCCAAATATTCAACAGCATGTTAAGTTAAAGTAGTAAGACATGGTGTCTTGATTGCAGAGCTAGCAATGTCTCTGCTGCTGTGGTCTGTTAGCACTGACCTTGGGCTGTGTGTTTATTTACCACTTGTGAGGTAACAGTGTATAACTTTACAAATTCTCAGACTGAGCGCTGGTTTCTGATCTCTGAGCATCAGCTGGGGATACTCCAGCAGATCTGATGAATCTGCTGATCACCATCTGCTTACATTTTTTCAGGACTTGATGTCCAGTGGCAAACACTGTAGCCCTGCAGTAGTCTTGTATCAAGTACTGCACATCTCCTATTGTTAATAGTAAAGAGCACAAGAGGAAAAACACTGTAAAATAGTTTGTCTGCAGTTCCATTTTACAAAAAAATGCTTAGATCTTATTTCACTGACTCCTTCAAGTAGATCATCTTTTTCAGAAGGCAGACTTCCTTCATTCAAATATAAACTTTTCCTGTGGTCTGACACACATGGGCAGTGTTTTAAACTTCATTTTTTTTCATCTTTAGTGCTAAAAAAGGCAATTGTCTCCCTGGCCACAGACCTTGCCTGTAGCCTCCCTCTGACTTGTGGCAGGCCAGTGGAGTGGTTGGAGTTAAAAGCAAGTTTTTCTCTTAACAAACTGGTTTGGTTTGTGGTGCAGACCTGCAACTATGTACTCATGTAAGAGCATACAGTGGAATGAAAAACTAGGGTGTGATCTCCAAAACTAGGATGAAAAGAGGGGTGGGTTGTGGTCTTTGGGGGTTGCAAAGGCTGTCTGGTGGTGAGCTGTTGCCAAGATGGCCAGCCTGTCCTCTCCCTTTCCTCTATCCTTCCTCCTTCACTTGTGTTAGATGTAGAAATCACATGGTAACAAGATGATTTTTCTGCTAGATCAGTTTTCAGATTGTTTTGGGTAGCCAGTCAAAAGAGGAGGAAAGGTTTTTACCACATCAGTGAGCTGAATCAACCTGCCCTGTAGCTGTGTGATGAGGAGCAGGGGATCAGTGTGTGGTTGGTAGCAGATGGAGGGTCTAGCCACAGGACTCCCTAGCTGAGATCAGTTCTGACCACGTTGGGAATCTCAGCCAGAGGCAGTAATTTCATGGAGTTTAAGCTAGTAGGCTGCTGCTGCTACCACAGAGGATATCCTGCCTCCCACAGTGCCTCACCACTGCTTTCCTTTCTCATGGGTCACCAAAACTACTCACAGAGCTGGGCTATGAACCAGGTCAGGATACTGGTTCAAATTTTAATAATCCTTTTTTTCCTCCCTCTGGATGTATGCTGGATGGCCAAGTGCTCATTTTGGCAGAAAGACTGGGACTAGAAGGAGTTTTGAGGTACAAGTGAGACTGATTCCTTTGGCTCTGAAATTAAACCCTGAGGTTTCTGTTTCATGATACATGATTAAGTGATCCAACAGGTTTCTGCTGGGGATGAGCTTTACCTTCTCCCCTCCCCTTTCCCAGACACACACTCTTGGTGCTTTTTTTGCATTCATTTTGGCACTTCTTGGATACCTGTGTGAACTGATCCAACTTGCTAGCCTGGTTTTCCTCTGTCATGTGGGTTGAATCTGCACATTGGAGGGGCTAATGGATGCCAGTGGCACCCCAAGGCAGGGCAAGGAGGGTGTGTGGCTGGGAGAGGGGAGGCAACCCTCCTAGTACTGTCTGGCTGCTTTTGGAACAAGAACCCCACGGGGAAGGAATGGGAAACTACATCTTCTGGCTGAGCCTCGCTGTGCTAAACCAGTCTGGTGAGCTCTGCAGATGGAGCTCACCTCAGAGGTGGTTGCTTCTCTCCCTCCCTGCTAAAAGCCATTGCTTTCATCTTTCTGATTGTTTCTTCATCACACTGTTGATTGTTTTCAGAAGTGATGAACATACATCTCAATTGCTTGATCTCAGTGGAGACTTGTAGTTTACTAGAGAGTTCACTATTATGTAAATTTGCTATGAAAAATCTACTGTCTTTCAGATTTGGGTCTGGAACATCCACATTTTCTGTTAGGTTTAAGGATTCAGTAGTAAAGTAAGAAAATTAAAAACAGAAACCTGAAATTATGTTGAAAGTATAATTTTCTCTGTAATGTGTAGGTTAAGAAAGCACAAATAAAATACATAAATTAACCTAAAAATTGCATAAGTAAAAAACCAGATTTACATACATTTGAAGAGAAAAGCAACAAAATTGTTTTGTCCCATTTTTGTGAATTTTTCCTTAAAAATAAAAAAATTGCCAAGTTTTTGATAGTTTGGCAACTGTGCAGATGACATCAGCTCCTCCATTGGGAAAGATCTCCTGTCTTTTAAACAGCCTTATGGCATTTCATCAAGTTTTGGTGATTCAGCTAAATTAAAACCCAACTGGTTTTAAGTCTCAATTCCCCTAACTGCTAAACCAAACCTATTTTTGACCACAGTCATTGCTAGATGTCCTGTCTTGAAGCAGCATTGAAACTTTATATCCCACAGAAGGC